CATCTTAAGATAATTCTACAGCTAACAAAGCTAAACAACACCAAGAAGGTATCTCTGTCCAGATTTAGACAAAAATCTACCATTCCACTTTGAACAGCTATAACTGGAGTTTTAGACCACCAAAAAGCATGTCCTCTAACATTTTGAAAAGCTTAGGAAAAGTACTACAACTCTATTATTATCACCAATACAAGATTCCATGTTGAAATGAGCCAAACAATACAATCATTCAAATATGTCTAGAGGACATGTAAAAACCTGACAGCAAACTTCTAAAATCTATAACTTCTAAACCATCAGACCTAAAATTATGAAATTTTAGGACGAGCAAGATAAGAAAATTATCTACAAGTTTTGTATTCACCATATTTATATAAAACATCATTTGTTCTACAAAGTTATCATAACAACAGAAAATGCATATGCAACCATTTTAGAATGTAACAATTTGATGTTTCACTTGTTTTGCTAACAAAGAGCATGCACACATGAGTCATTCAAGGACTTCAACCACCACTAACATACTTAGCAACACTTTATTGAACTCCAATCACTCAAGGCATCACCAAATACAATTACAAGCTTTTATCTATAATTATGCTTTTATTAATCCTTTTTTCCAATAAACATATATATAATTTTAGTGATATATGAGAACAACTAGTTTGGGGCTGAGACTTTTATGAGTGGTATATGTTATCAAAACATGGCTACTGCATAAAGTTCACATGCTCAGGTTTTATATATTAATTATTACAAAAAGACAAATTGCTAATGCAAGAAAACATGTGAGAGCAAGAGAAATCTAAAACACACTATTTTCTGCAAATACATGGCCATATTATGTATCAACATGACACAACAACATCATACCAAGGTAATGGAACCACCTTTTCCAATTTTGCATCTTCATAAAAAATATAACTTATTGAAAACCATTTATCAAGCAATAAACAAGTTAAATCAATAAATCAATCATACTACATCCAATGACCATGAAATTTTTACCACAACACACACATATCATCAGTAGCCTACCATAAAATTTTCACAGCAATTGGAGCACCACAACTTTAAATATGAATTTATCCCTAGAAAATCCTAATTAACATAGATAAATAAAAACAACAAAAACCTTCTACTAACACATATCATAAGATGACTCTACTGCTCACAAGAATTCCAAAAAGTCATCATTTGCTATTTTATGATTTTTCTACAATTTATTATGATTTTCCAAAGTTTCAGCCATAAAAGAAAAACAGATTTGCACCGAGGCCCCTAAACTTTCACGAAAACAGACTTCAGCAAATAGATCCTTCCAGGCACTGTTCATATAAGTCAACAGCTTTGCAGTGAGGCCCTTCCCTTTCGTCGAATTCTTACGCGAGGTCCTTCACGCGACTTGGAGCAGAGGACGCGCGGGAGCTCGCCAACGTCGACCGGTGGAGGCTCGTCGGCGGTGGCGGAGTGGCGGCGGAGCACCAGGGAGTCTATGCGCATCCAAGGGATAGCTCGTCTCGGCTCGAGGCGGCCCTAGGTGGCGCGGCCATGGCAGCAGCGGCCCGATGGCCGGCAAGGACAGGCTTGGGGTCGGCCGGCCTTGGCCAGCAGGGGCCGACAGTGGCGGGGAGCACCCAGGGGTCCGCACGCATCCGTTGGTAGCCATGGTTCGGCCCAAGGTGGGCCAGGTCGCCCTGGCCACGTGGCACCAGAGGCACGGCTCCGGCAGCGGCTACTCGGCGATGGGCCGTGGAAGGCGTGACGCGAGCTAGAGGGGCTAAGAGAAGGCAGTGAACGTGGAGCTGCTCTTGGTTGGACACAAGGTGGTGCAGAGGCGAGGGAGACGTGGGTGGCTTGGAGCTTTGCTCTGGCATCCATGGCGTCCGTGTGCTCTGCGCGCTCGCGCGTGGCACTGAGGGCGACGGAGAGCGCGAAGGGAGTGGAGAGTGTGAGGGAGAGACAGAGAGGGAGCATGGGCGCGTCCAAATCGAAGCGGCAGTGTTGGCAGAGGAGGTGGGATGTGCATTGGCATGGTGTGGCGCTACTGTCCTACATGGTGACCACGCGCCCATTTCAACGAACAGGTGGAGGGCGACGATGTGGGTAAGGTGGGAGCCGAATTGGGCCGGCTACGGGCCGATTTGGACCTTGGGCCCAAAAGCAAAGTTGCAGCCCACCTGATGATCTACAAAACTCATTATGGGTGCCTGGCCATTAGAGCTCTCCATTAGCGGCTAATTAAGCTCCAAGTTGACAGTGTCAATGACTTAACGAAGGTTAAACCTTGCTCTGCTTGAGCTCGAATTACTTGGTCAAAATATGGACAAATTTGATCCAACTTTTTGTATGTCCTTCTCCAAGATGTAAACTCCAACTTTTATATTTGGCTCAACTTGAGTTGTTTAACAAAAATCCGAGAACACAAGATGCCAATCATCATCAACATTGTAATCTCAGACTTAGCCAAAATTTTGAGATCCAAAACAGCACTGGGTTTAGTTTTGAGTCCTCAGTTTGACTAGGTTAGGGACCAAACTAGCTCATGACCCTTGAATAAAGTTTGTTGTGCACCACTCAAAATTCAACTTTTATTAAAGGTCAAACTTCATATCTGGTACAGAAACCATTGCTTTATCTTGGTCAAAGCAGCACCTCGTTAAACCCTGTAATTAGGGTTTTCGACCAATTGAGGCATTTTCTTGACATTTGCTCAATATCAACCCTTCATGACTTTTGTTGTAGAGTTCAATTAGAGTCATTTGGGCAAGGTAGCAAGGTTTAGTCAATATCTTATCTTTCTATTTACTTAATAAAGCAATTCAATCAAGGTTATAACTTATCATTTCATGTGACTTCTTGGCTCCAAACTTCACGAAACTTTTCCACTGGTCAAGATAGATGCATGTTGATGTAATGTTCATGAAATAAGCATGTTTAACATTACTCATGCATAATCTTAACCAGGGTCCACATGTAAGCAAAGTGTATTGTTCGAGTCCAAGTTGGGGCTCATTTTCATAGGTTTGACCTCAATACCTTCATCATTACTTCCAGATTATGAACTAGAGATCATAATCATTGCTTGACATATCCTACTTAAGTCCAATTTTGCTGCTTAACTCGTGGCTAACACCCGGGGTGTTACATGTATGGTCAAAGGCCATTGCTAAGCCTGTTTGATGAATGTTAGGTGATACGTGTTTCATTGTGATATATACAGGAATGACTTGTTTTCTGGTTGCTCGGACACACTATTGGAAACTCGAATTGCCCTGTGGGTGATGAATTTTTCTGTGCGTTTTTTGGTACGCACAGAAAAATTACGATTATTTTGTCGGTTCCAAAATATCCCGACAGAAAAATATGAAAACCCACAGAATAATTGTATGATTTTTCTGTAAGTGACAATACACACACAAAAAATCAGCACTCATAGAAAAATGCAATTTATTATGTCGGTTCTTTAAAAACGCACAGAAAAATATATGCACGCACAGAAAAAAGTCCTAACCCTAACCCGTCGGCCACCCCCCAAACACCCTCGCACGCACGCACTAGATCTAGGGAAAAAATCTACTTTCAGCACCGTGCGACTCAGAACCGTGCCCCTCCCTCACTCTCTCCTTTCAGCGCCTTGCGACTTAGCGCCGCGCCCCTCCCTCTGCGACTCAGCGCGGGGGCTCCTCCCCTCCCCGAGCAGCACCACCACTCCTCCCCTACCCGAGCAGCGCCACCACTCCTCCCCTCCCTCTCCCGGACCCGGTCGGTGGCTGCGGTGGTGGCGGTGGTGGCCGACGGCGGGGCGTGGTGGTGGTGGCGGCCCTCCCCTCCCCCTTGTTCTCCCCCGCCGGTGCCCCTCCCCTCCCCCTTCTTCTTCCCCGGCGGGCGCCCCTCCCCTCCCCCTTCTTCACCGGCCAGATCCGGCCCTCCCTCTCCCGGATCCGGTCGGTGGCTGCGGTGGTGGTGGTGGCTGGCGGCAGGGCGTGGTGGTGGTGGTGGCCCTCCCCTCCCCCTTCTTCTCGCCCGCCGGTGCCCCTCCCCTCTCCCTTCTTCCCCGGCGGGCGCCCCTTCCCTCCCCCTTCTTCTTCCCCGGAGGGTGCCCCTCCCCCCCTTCTTCACCCGGCCGGACCCGGCCCTCCCTCTCCCGGATCCAGCCGGTGGCTGCGGTGGTGGTGGTGGTGGTGGCCGGCGACGGGGCGTGGTGGTGGCGGCGGCCCTCCCCTCCCCCTTCTTCTCCCCCGCCGGCGCCCCTCCCCTCCCCCTTCTTCTTCCCCGGCGGGTGCCCCTCCCCTCCCCCTTCTTCACCCGGTCGGATCAGGCCCTCCCTCTCCCGGATCCGGCCGGTGGCTGCGGTGGTGGTGGTGGCCGCGGCGGGGCGTGGTGGTGGTTGTTGGTTGTTGTATTTTTTATGTGCAATCTGTGATGCAAATTCCCATTTCCTGAATCACTGTGATTATTGCATCATGATGATAATAATCCCCAGTGCTTTATTAGGTGTTTGGAATTGGTCCCAAACTTTGTTGTTTTTCTGTAGTCTTGAAAATAGAGATGCCACACAACTGATGAATGATGTAATTAAATTTTTCTTCAAGAATTCCCACAGATGACAGAACTGCATATGTAAGAAATTAAGACAGTAGAAGTAGTATTCTATGCCAACTTTTGCAGTCGTCCAAGCACCCTACCACAGATCATATGAACTCTGAAATGCATATCTTAGAAGTTATTATTCTTTCTTATTGTTCTTTTGTTCAGAAAATCTGTGTAACAACTTATTTATGGATATTGGATACAAAACTATAGTGACTTTGAAATACAACAAATATGTTACAGAACTTGTAGATAAATGCATTTATCGAATTGACATGTTGGAAGCATTTATGCAGTATTGTCCCTAGCTGAGTAAACTTGTTTTTCATAGTTTACCTTTGTCTTCATTCTTTGTCATTGTGGATCTGAATAAATTTTATTTTATAATGTAGGGTCATCCAAGTCCTATGGATGGGATTCAACCTGCTGTTAAAAGTGCCTTGACAAAGGTATACAAACAAGGAAGTAGTTCTCGTGTTGTTCGAGCGGCAGATCTAATAAATATTCAAGGCATGAAAAAGCCTTTAAAGAAACGAGTGGCGGCAATCTTGGAGCCAGTAGAAGAGAGCCTGCCTGAAGAAAATGGACTAGCATTAGCTGAAGATGATTCTTCTGGTACTGAAAATAATGGTGCGTGTCCCTTTCGTATATAAGTGATATAACAAACAGAAAAAATCAGGTAGATGCTTGTTTGTTTGACTAATGTGTCAGGCATTTGGATAAAATGGATCTGTTTTGAGGCAACTTTGTGGTGCCACACTGTCTTCATCTAATGCAATTGTGAAATTACTCATTTTTATGGAGATTTGTAGCATCATTCAAGTAAATACAAATTGAGATCATAGAAACATGAACTTGTGATATAGCTACACCTAACTATAGACTGGTTAATGCTAGAACTATAAATAATAGTACTTCTCACATTAAGACACACCATACTAACATATGGTATAGCCAGTTCTATTGGAAGTTTTTAGTCAGTTGGATGCTATAGAAGTTGCATCCATTATTACAGTTGCTAAAGCGTTTTTAGTCAGTTGGATGCTATTGGAAGTTGCATCCAAAAAGAAATATTCTTTCCATATGACTTGCTGTCTAATCATTTTTTTCTTCCTTCAGATGAACTTGTGCCTGCTGACTCTACGCCGAAGCTGGACCTGCAAAGTGACAAGAAGAAAGGTTCTCATACTTGTTGGGCATTTGCTACGAGCCTATATATCCCTCTGAATTTGCCGCGTCTAACTTTTCGGTAACCTCGTTTGCTTCCAGGAATCCAAGTCCAGCTTGACCTGAAGAGCAATGGGAATGGCTCCGGTGGGAAGAAGGAGCAGCAATGAAAGAGCTAAGAGCTGCTTATTTTCAATGGTAGCAACATCGATCTAGTTGTCAGCATAGTAGTGCAATAGTTATCAGTAGTGAAATTCATGAACTGCTAAGATGAGATGGTAATGCTTTTGAATGTATTGATGCCGGAACATTTGGACATCATCTACATGTAGCCTGGATGATATGAATGAATGTGCTGAACATTTAGACTCCATCTTTATATATTGTGATGAAATTACTGTATGGACAGTTCATATTTTAATATGCTGTTGTTACTGTTTCCAAATGCAATTTTTCTGTGCGTTCACCTAACCTGACAGAAAAATACAATTTTTTTCTGTAAGTGCACCTCTGCAACTCTGACGGGACAACACTAACAGAAAAATGATTTTTCTGTTGGGTTTTTCTTTTTTCTGTGAGGAATAATGCATAAAAATTTTATTTTTAATCTGGCCGAACACAATTTTTCTGTGCGTGTAACACCCTCAGAAAAATTGTTTCTGACAGTGAACACACAGAACAATTGAATTTTTCTGTCATTATATTTCCGTGTGTATTTTTCTGAGGATACACCGTCAGAAAAATATTTTTCTGACGGTATTCGCATTTTTCTATGTGTTTTCGCACACACAGAAGAATGCGAGTTTCCAATAGTGACAGTTTGACCAACCATTAGATTTTGTATAATATCACCAGCTTGAAGTTGGTATAAATGAAAATAGCACTGAAATCAAAGCCTTTTAGAGAAGGTATTCAGACCAACAAAGTGCAGCCTTGCAAGACCTGCAGTTCAGATCCAAAGATTGCACTTACTAGGATAATATGATGGATAGCAAAATTTTTAGAAAATAACACTTCTGCAGCTGCAACCAAGAGGTCCTTTCACTAAAAAGATTAACTAACAAATTATCGTCTTCTATTTCTCAATGTAATTTGATTAGCTCCCGTAATTGGGTGACCATTTCTGGTATTACAGAAGGTCAAACTTGGTGTTATCGAGCTTATAGAGTGTGCAGGTTTAGAATGCAACCCGATGCTAATACTTATAAATGCAACAAACAAGGCTGTTCATTCACTTAGGTTGTTTGGAGGTAAACTCATTTTACACATACATACACATGCGAGTATTAGACTATTAGTTATAAGATATTAATCTTGATCAACCATTTACTGTAATTAACAGGTACAAGGTACCATTCCTCGGTAAAACTTACAGACTTGAGTTTATGTTATTTGAAAACAGAGGAACAAAATTGATTAGAGAGACTTGAGTTTATGTTATTTGAAAACAATGGAACAAATTTGATTAGAGAAACTGCTGAAAACCTTCACAAGCAGTACAGACCACCTCTATTCTTCTGCTACAAGCTCTCTTTTGGTGACAAGTTTTGCAGGATCTTTTAGACCATGTTATAAATTGGGATTTGTGTAGATTAAGAGGTCTATCATAAACTTTGATCATATGACCTCTTCCTCAATCTATAGCATAGTACTCCGTTGCTACCAGCTTTGATCTTTTCTAATCTATAGAAGTATAAACAACCAAAATGAGCTTTTAATGTATAGGAATCAAGCAGGCCTTGATGGAGTAACATGATTGATACAGAACTACTGCATATATAGGGTTGGTCAGGAAGGTATTGTGATACATGTGTATACATATCTGAAAGAGAGTTTTAGTTAAACTATGCTAATAACTTTCGCACCTGGTTTCCTGAACCATTGCTCTTGCTTTTTACTATAGATATCTGAAAGAGACGTTTAGTTAAGCTATATATAATAAACTTACAAAAAACACTTCTTCACTTAGGATTCCAGATGATATTATCTGATTGAACGACATAGCAACAGAAACAATGATGCATCTGGTACAAATGGCCTGGTCTATGTGTGCTATGGCGCGGCTGCCGCGCGTTTTTTTTCTAGTATATCTTACCAATATAGGAATAAAACAATATGCCACAACACGGAATCACCGCCGGTTGTGCCGGAGTCAACGGTGAATGCTTATCACTGCCAATTCATAAGCCTACGATCCAGAAAATTGAGGAAAAGCTATTCACCTGGCAGTGAAAGCGCATATCACTGCCGGCTCAAACCGCCACCTGGCAGTAATATATCAGTGTCGGGTCAAGCCACAAACCGGCAGTGATAAAGGTGATATCACTGTCGGCTCATGCTACAACCCGGCAGTGATGTCCCTGTCTGGTCAAGCCACGAGCCTATTATGACATTTTCATGCCAGGTCTTATGATGATCCGATAGTGTTCTTTGACCGTTCGATCCACCTAACCTTCAAAATATTTGATTCTCCATCGTTGGATCCACCTACCAACATTGCTTTTGGTTATAAAATCGTCGTTCAGACACCTCCAACGGATAGAGGAGCTAGGTCCCCTGCATATGTTGACAGCTTGTAATCCCCCAAATGAATTGGTTCACCATTTGTGTGTAGTCTCAATATATGTTCTCTGTAGGAGAAAGCTCTGGACATACACCTTGTGTTTTGTAGTCAAGATGATGCACCAGAGGTACTAGAAAAATATTTGTGAAGATAGGGGAATGCCGAAGTAGGACGCGCTGGTAGCAATATAATGCTATTCAACATCCCCATATGTTGTTGGTCTATGCCGACCCGGACATTGTGATGACCCGATACTGTTTATGACTCACTGACACAAGCGTCATCCACCTGACCAACTTGCACCAGCTTGACTGGCAACAGATCACCAACAGGAGAGTCAGGATCTTGCGGTTGGGTAATATATCTCAAGTCACGTAATAAACCATCAAGTGACCACATGTATAACATTTTCAAAATAAACTAATGCATAACTTCAATTCGAGGAAAACATTATTTAAAGAATGAACAGTTTACACTTCAAGTTTAACCCATTCTAAGTTGCTCTCAGTACTCGCTCATACACACTATCGGAGTTAACTGCAGCTCAAGTTGGAGTCGCCCACTCCAAGGTCTGCTATTTCTCACTTGTTGGGCTCGGCTCAACGGCGAACGTAAACAAAGATTTCTGCAAAACAATTTAACGACGACACCATGAGTACATTGCGTACTTGCAGTGTAAGGAAAATGGACCCTAGGCCCATTTACTTTGGATTTTGGTGCTTGATGACCAACACAACCAAATTGGACTAATGAATTTGTAAGTGATTGTTTTGTAATTCAATAGGATGCAAGACGTGACTTAGACAAAGGCGACGTGATGATCCGATGATCAACACCTCAAGCAAGACCTTAGGAGCACAAGAGAAGACCCAAGATATCAAGCAAAATCCAAGCATGAAGATAAGAACCAAGCCGCACGCAAGATCGCGAAGAAACGAGCTCACAGCAGCGACCGGATGCTGGACCGGACGCTGACAAAAAGCGACCGGACGCTCCGATCAGAGGCTCGGCAACAGCAGTAGCGACCGGACGCTGGACCGGACGCTGGCGGCAAAATGACCGGACACAGAACAACAGCGTCCGATCGAGTACAGAGAGGTTCTAGAGCGGCCAACTTGCGACCGGACGCGTCCGGTGGCAAGTGACCGGACGCTGGCAGCGTCCGATCAGTTGTTCGTGGCTCCAATGGTCAGGACGACCGGACGCGTCCGATCAGGACGACTCCACCGTCTGGTCAGTAGCAGAAAAGCGGGATTTCGTCCCCAATGGCTACTTTCTCAGTGGGGCTTATAAATACAACCCCAACCAGCCAAATGAGGTGTGTGGAGCTAAGGAAACATATGAAGGGTGTTGATACACCATTTTAGTGATCTCCACTTGCATAGTGCTTAGTGATTCATTAGGTGATTAGCGTAGGTGCTTTGCGAAGTGCTTAGGTTGATTAGACCACCGCTTATGCGCTTGCTCTAGGTTTAGGCCTAGTGTTTAGTGAGGTTTGCATACCTCTTACCACTCGATGCTTGCGCGCACCATTGTCGTACATTGAAGGGGCTTGTAGTCTTGCGAGATCACACCAACCGCGTTTGTGGTGTGGCTACCACTGTGTACTGGAGGGAACAAGGCCCACGGCGTTTCGGTCGGAAGCTTGATAGTGAAGACGGCAGGGAGCATCCGGGAGAGGCTTGCCGGAAGGCACGTCGGAGACCCACTTGCGCGTGGGGAAGGCCCGAGGATATCCATGGAGTTACCCGACCGAGAGCTTGGCCTTTGCGAGGGATTCCTTGCAAGGGGCTCCAACGAGGACTAGGGGAAAGCTTGCGTGCTTCTCGATACCTCGGTAAAAATATCGGAGTCACCGACGGGAGTTTGCATATCTCTACTTTGCTCTTTAGCTTTCGCATTTACATTGATTGTATTACTCCTTTTTGCGGTAGAGATAGCAACACACTAGCAAAACCGTAGTTGCACATTTAGATAGTTTATCTTTTGCATAGGTTTTGCTAAGGTTAGAAAAAGAGGTCATAGTTTAGAGTTAGATTCTTAAATTGCCTAATTCACCCCCCCTCTTAGGCGTCACGGTCCCCTATAATTGGTATCAGAGCCGGTTGGCTCAATTTGGACCTTTGGCTTAACCGCCGTTGAGCCGACGTCATTTAGAGTGGTTGGGATGGATACCTCTAGACCTCCGCATTTTAACGGCACTAACTTTCCCTATTATAAAGCTAGAATGGCTTGCTACCTTGAGGCGGTTGATTTGGGAGTTTGGAGAGTCACTCATGACGAGATGAAACCCATTAAGAATCCCGATAAACCCACAAAGAGTGAAGAAAAGGAAATTTATTTCAATGTTAGAGCTAAGAATTGCCTATTTGAATATTTTAGCATGGATGTGTTTAACCAAGTGTTCACTTTAAATACGACACATGAAATTTGGTTAAAACTTCAAGAGCTCCATGACGGCACAAGTAATGTCCGTGAGCAAAAACATTATCTAGCTAAACAAAATTATGATTCCTTTATAATGAATGATGATGAGCTCGTTCGTGATATGTATTCTTGTTCGAATCTAATTATCAATGAGCTCCATTCAATAGGATTAACAAAGCT